CCAATCTGCCGGGCCGTATTCTGGTCAAGGGGAGGCACCGATTTACCAACAGTTGCCAAGTTGACTTTCAGAAGCGCCAGTTGTCAAAGAGGTGATGACGTAAGAATCAGTCGAGCTGCATCCCTGATCAGAGGTATCGATGTACCAACAGTTGCCCAAGGCGTCCACCCAGGCTAGTGGAGGGAATTAGGTGCCACACGTCTCCATTCCAGACCAGCTTTAGGCCACACAAAGATAGTCCGGTCAACTTTGAACTGACGTTCTGTCTAACATTCTTGTCACTGGCGCCTTTATGTGTGCAGAGCTTACATAGACCGTGCATTCGCCAAAGGAGCTGAGGTTTCTGAATGTAGCTGTACGCTGGGACTTGAGTAAACTTTTGGACTGACTAGACGCACTCGTCAAAGTTGACTGACTGTCCTTTTTAACCAGGTCTAACCACTGATCGGATCTTGAGCCAAGCTAAGAATGCTCTTTCTCTGTACGTTGGTATCGGCAATTGTTGGTGTTCAGTAAAAAAAAGTGTTGAGTCAAAAGGTAAAGCTTTGGATTTACTGCTCTGTCTACGTTCCGACCCTCACCTGTGGTCCTGAGGTTTGGATCTGCACTAAAAGAACCAGATCCTGGATACAAGAGACTTAAATGAGCTTCCTTCGTAGAATGGCCAGGCACAGCCTTTAGAGACTGGGGAGGAGCTCCGTCATCCAGGACGAGCTGGAGAGTGTCACTGGGGAGAGGGAGGTCTGGGCTTCTCTCCTGGACCTGTTGCCTCCATGACCCTGGATAAGCAGTAGAACATGGAGATGGAGATTCCAACGGTTCCATGGGCTCGTGGAAGAAGTGAGACGAGATGCTGGTCAGACATTCTGCAGCTGTCACGCGTTAAACAAAACAACACAAAAACAACCAAACGATTGCGTGACGGCAATGTTAGCGTACACCATGCTAATCCTGTTGTACGCCTGCACATATGCAACAAACACATTATGAACTTTACACGCGTGTCCTACATCTGGCGTGGCTTTATTTATAATATAAACCGGGTTTTTAAACATACGATGGGGTAGAGGCAGGGCAGCCGACTTGGGACCCGAAAGTCCCAGGTTCGATCCCCAGCCAGTCCCACATGTCGTGGTGTCTCTGAGCAAGACACCCAATCCCTAATTGCTGCCCACTGCTCCACCTGGGTGCATCCCAGGTGCGATGGGTTAAAAGCAGAGCACTAATTTCTCCATTGTATGAGAACATGTGATGACAACACATAGCACTTATTATTATTATTACATACATGGAAAAACACACGCTGGTTTGACAGTACTGATAAAAACAAATGGTTTGTCCTTAAAAAGCATATTTTATTGTTGTTCAGGTGCTACAAACCACTCAGCTCACCCAGCGCATCTTATCTTACAGCTTGTGCAACACATCTGCTTTTTCCACACAATCATTGACCAGTAAACACATCAGGGTCAGGTTATGTGGTGGTGTGTGTGTGTGTGTGCGTGGGGGGGGGGTCGTTGTCATGCTTAAGGACTTAAACCCATGGAGGAGCATGGAAGGGCTAAACGTCAAACCCTCCAGGTGAAGGTTGATGCTGGTCCATGAAACAACCTAAATCTGAATCTCAGCGGCTGAAACATCAACACAAAGACCAACACACGGAGGAGCTCAGAGGAGCAGGGGGGCTGATGGGGGCTGATGGGGGGGAACTTGTTATTCTGGTAGGAAGAGCTCAAGGCCTCTCTTCAGCGGGGTGGTAAATGTTTCACGGCTCTGACAAGCCGCCCCCCTGCTGGCAGCCAGGGCTGCGTTTCAATCACTCCCTCCGTCTTACTTTAAAACCTTGAAACTTGTTTTCAGATTTATGTTTTAGGACAAACTTTATTTCTTTAAAAAAATAAAACAAGGCCAACCTGCACACAAGAGTTGAACGAACAGGAAGAGGAAGACGAGCTGCTTCTCTCTAAGTAAAGCCTGGAGTTTGCATGAGGCTGATGGAGGACGCAGCTCCTCCTGCTAGGAGGTGAAGCTCCACCGAAACGTCTCAACGGTTTGTGTTGGTCGAACTAAATGCTGCTCAAGTTTTTCACCTTTCCATTCAAAACAGTTTGATGGCAACACGAAGGCCTAGACACCGTTTGTAGTTTCTCCCATCGTGAAACTGAACTTCAGAAGAAAGAAGTGGTTCCATTCCTGCAGAAACAGAAAAACCAGAGCTCTGCTGTCCTGAACGTCCAGCTGCAGAGATCTTCTCCACGATGGTTGCATCAGGCAGTATCATCCCGTCCTGAACTCTGCTCCTCTTCAAGCTCAAAGTTCTCGAGGACGTTGGTTGGACATTTTTAACGTGTCCTGATGATTTAGGGTCAACGTAGCTCCTTGCAGATGGTTTCAAATGACGATAAGTGTTTTTAATTTCTCATCATTGAGGACATCGATCGTCCTGACCAAACATTGTTTACAGAAATGCTAACAACCTTCACCAGGATTCTTGTTACCTGCAAACACCTGGATAGACTTCACCTGGCAGTAGATGGGCGTATGTGTCCCACAGGTCCCCGATGGTTCTGAACTGATGGTACTGTTGGACATCGTCTGCATACCTTGCATCTTGTTGCTCGGACTCGACATGGAACTGTTTTCACCAACCTCACCGTAAAACTGTTTCTTAAAGGAATGCATATCTGTCTCACACATCAAAGTTTTAAACAAAGATTTCAAATGATTCAGTTCTGCTTGAAGTATGTGTTGGGGATGAGCTCAGCTACTAACTTAACAAATTTTAGCTCAATATCTGTAAAACTGACTGGGTTACTGCCATTCTTGTGTTTGGTACAGTCAGTTAGCTCTGGTGGCCATCTTGAATCAGGTTGACTCTAAAAGTGAATCAGATGTTTATGTTTATCCAGTGATTACGTTCTGAGAGTTTTATTAGAAACCATCCAATGGTTCATGAGATATTTTGCTAACAGACAAACTCAAATAACGACAAAGTCAGATACATGTTCCAGCCCCTTTTATTTCCTGTGACCTGAAACTTGAAAAAACAGCAATTCAGTTTCTGATGGCACAAGTTTCAGCTCTTAGCCAGAGTCTGGGCGGCCGTGGGTTTATTTTTTAAAACCCTAACATGAAGAACTTTCAGTTGGACAGTGACGTCATCAGGTTCTGGTGGTCGCTCCTCTGCTGCCGCAGAGAGGACACGTTCCGCACGTCCTGCAGGGGGCGGGGCATATGGGGCGGGGCAGGAAACACAACGGGATGACGCCTCTGATTGGCTGCTGGCCCACACGGTGCCGCCCACTACAGCTCCGCCTCTTTTAACTGACACTGCGCGTTCACGAGTCGGGCGCGCGACGGCTTTGTTTTTAAACTAAAGGATATTAAAACTGCAGACTGAAGAAAGAATTAAAAATCAGTTATATAATAATAATTATCGTATTTTATTACACGAATCAAAGAAATTAGACTTCAAAGTTGAAAAAAGAAGAAACAAAGCTATAATTTTAACCACTGTGCACACACACGCATTTATGTGTTATTTACTGCTAAAAATTGTAAATTTAGCTAAAAGTTAATTTAGCAAAACTGCTATAGTCAAAAACTGAATTTAACAAGAGAATATTTAAATGCTAAATGTAGCCAGATCTAAAAATAGAATGCAAGAAGCTTTAAGTAGTAAACAACTTAAATAAAATCAGCTAAGGTTAACTAAAAATGAGAAGAAAAGGTTGTCTAAAGTCTAAAAGCAGCAAAAAATGTGCTAAAAACTAAAGGTTAAGTAAAAGTAGCACAACACAAACAAAAAGATGGCTAAAAATAAATGCAACAAAAAGTTATAGCTAATCAGCTAAATGTAAACTACACACAGCAAAATGTTTGTTAAAAATAAAAGGACAAAGGCTAGCTAAAAGCTAAATGTTGCCAAGCTATCTAAAAGCAAAATCATCAAAATAATTTCTGTGGAAATAGTTGTAAAACAAGCTAAATATTATGAAAGGTACAAAAGTTACAAGAGCCGACGTCTCCTGAATGAGCTGAAGGTTTTAATGAACAGCTAAAACAACAAAGTCTGCAGAAAAATTAAAAAAACATCCATTAAAAGATAAAGTGAAACACACGTCATGTTTTTTTATGTCCAAACGTCTCCTGGGGAGGAGGGTGTCTGTTTCTCTGCAGGTCGTGTGTTTACTAAACTTTATTTTCCTTTCCTCTGAAATTAATCAGAGGTTTTCTGGGACTGACCGTCTGGTTTTTTTTGGGTCACTTCTTTTCCGGACGCAGTTTTAAAGATTTATTCAGATTATTACTAAAAGACAAACCTCCTGGTCTTAAAGCACGCTGAAATCCCTGTTTCCTGCAGGTGAAAGCTTCCCAGCGTTTACCTGAACCCCCCGCTGGACTCTGGTCGTCTTTCTTTGTCTTCCTGTCCTCGGCCTGCGGAGGACAAACAGCCGGACGTGTTTTCAGTCTCAGCGTGGAGTCCAGCTCAGCAGCAGGAGCTGAAACATGAAGCTCTGGTGAGAACATCTCCTTCGTGACGATCTGCTGCTGGTGGACATGAGGACAAAAACCAAGATCCCAGTCCGTCCTTGGACTGAGACACGAGGGACAGTTTGAGGCTGTTTGTCCCCGATTCATCAGAAGCGTGTCGGCGGGACCTCGGTTGTTTCTGACCTGTGAAGGACACGCCTCATCAGCGAGAAACTTTTATTAAACGACCTTCATGATGGAGGACTGAAGTTCTGTCAGGAAGAGAACCCAACACCGAGAGAGTTCTGGTCCTGGTCTCAGTGGGTCCTGCTGGTTTTACACGATGACCTGTTCATCAGAAACTTTCCTCCGAGACATTTTTCCATTTTCTGATTGTTTTCAGGTAAAGGATGAACTTCCTGTCAGGTGGGAGGAGTGAAGGGAGCAGCTGGTAAACAGGCTCTGACCCCCCCTCCTGGTCAGAGTAAGAACAGAACAAAAATGAAATAAAAGATAAAGTTCAGGCGTGTTTTATTCTTTTAATGATCAGAACACATCAGTCTGTTGTTTCCCTTGTGTCTCGTTGGGGTGGTAGTAGCTGAGAGTCACTCACAACAAACTCTGAGCTCCAACAGGTTTTTATTTCAACCAGAGCCTTGGCGGGCGACATGCATTCCTTCAGGGAGCAACACCAAGACAAGTCAAGAGTCGTCAGCTGAAAACTGGACCTCAGCCGAAGGATCCTCCAGGTCCACCATACGAGAGATCCACCATTCTGGTTCAGAACCAAAGGTCCTGGTTCAGGTCTCTCAGATCCTCTTCATCCGTGGAGTTTTCAGAAAGTCTGCAGGGCTCTTTGGTCTTAGGTCCGTTTCTTGGACCAGAGAAGACCAGGACCACTTTGAACCAAACGTGTAAAGAAAGAATTACTCGGAGCGGGTTGAATCTTCTCCCTCCACTCTGCTCTTTTCTGTTCGCTCCCCATCCTGCTCCTCCTGACTCCTCCTCTCCTGCTCCTTCTGCAGCTCCTCCTGCTCTCTGGCGTCAGCCTCCTTCAGTTTCTCCTCCACGTCCTTCGGGATCTCCACCTCCATCAGGTTGTCCATGCCCGGATCCGGCTCGTCTCCGATCAACACCTGGAGGGACAGACAGCAGTGAAGATCCAACAGGTGCTGCAGGTTCTGACAGGTGATACAGGTTCTGACAGGTGCTGCAGGTTCTGACAGATGTGTGTCTCACCTGGACGAGCTTCTCGCAGGCCGCCGTGACCTGAGGGTCCTTCTCCCAGCGGTGGAACTCCCTCATGATCGGATAAACCTTCTTCTCCTTCAGCGTCCGTCGGCCGGATTTGGTCGCCGTCAGCTGATCAGAGGAGATGAGCTTGATGTAAACACACACACACACACACACACACCTGTCTGTCTGTGTGTGTTCAGTACCAGCAGGAGTGTCTCCAGCAGCATCCTCCTGATGTCGGGGTCCTCCTCTCTCTTCTTGTCCTCTGGGAGGTACTGCAGGTCCACAGGAAGACCTGAACAGACCAGATCCTGCTGAGTCTCTTTCTTTCTGCCTCTTTAAAAGTTTTGGGACTAAATCAACCCCAAAAACATTTAAACTGTAAAACATGAAGTTTTACGTTGTATAATTATTTCACCACGGGGGTAAAAATATGTTTTGATTTGTTCACCGAGTCAAACAATCAAATCTGTCACAAGTCGGGGCGGTTTTATTTTGATAAAACTCACAAATGAAAAGGTGAAATCATGTTTTTCACACCGGATGCATCTGAAGGATGTTTTTGTGTCGATAAGAAAACTCGATAAAAACGAACGGAGTTTAGTTTCTGGGTTTGGATCACCGCTCAGACCCACCATCGTTTTCTTCGTCTGTCAGCTCCTCCGGACCGGCCAGCGGCAGCAGCAGGAACGGCAGGATGTCCACGGCGTCGCTCAGTAAGAACTCGTGATGAGCTGCAGAAACAGAAACAGGAAGTGATGAGCTGCAGAAACAGGAAGTGATGTCAGCGGACATTTGTAAGGAGAAAGGTGCTCGGTAACAGGCAGCAGTGAGCCTGAGAGCAGAAACTGAAGGATTCAGAACCTTCACATCACAGAACTTCCTTCTCTTTTCACATTTCTACTCAGGACCCATTAATGACCAATTAAAAACAGATTTATCACGTTTTGAACATTTATTAAAAAGAAAAAGGACATCAAATGTCCAGAAGTAAATCAGAGGTTCAACAACACTTTGAAGTTTAGCTCAAGATCCTCCCGAATCAGAACAAAACCCGTGACGTTAAAGGAACTGCCAACACTGCAGCACGGAGGCGGCAGCATCATGATGTGCTTTCTGAACCAACCGAGAGATCCCAACAGAACCTGAACACGCAGAATTGAAGAAAAAAAATCTGTTTGTTGCGTTTCATCCATCAGTAAAACTGATCTGTGGGTTCTTACCGTGGTCGAAGCAGCAGTTACGCAGCGTTCCTATGACTCCGCCCCTTCTCACCACCGACGCCTCGTACTGAGTGAAGGGCAGCAGCCTCTGGAGGACACACCTGCAACACACAGGCGCCATCGGTACCAGCTCCTCCTGAGGCCTTCTTCATGGTTTAAAATAATTCCATTTTGTTTGGATTAACAGTTTAGGTGGGATTATTTGTGCTGATTTAAACTAAATAATCTCTACTCCGAACATAAATCCAGATGTTCCAAACGGTTTCTATTTTTTACAGGTAAAGAGTGCTTGTCTTTCTGAGTGGAACCAGTCACCTGTCCCGGTCCATCATGTAGGTTCTGGCCTCGGGGAGCTGGGTCAGGTTGGACAGCAGAGGACCCAGGTAGTTCAGTTTGGCCTTCTGGTTGAAGCTCTCGTTGCAGAAGATCTCCACCAGCTTGACCAAACCCACATCCTCCTGCAGGACCTGAGGGGGGCAAATAAAAACCCGACGGGTCTAAAGAAACCCCAAACAGTGCTGATGCTTCGGAACCAGAACAAAAACCTCTAGAGAGCAGAAAAACTAACAGATTTACTCCGGTTGTTAAAAACAACTGGCATCTGGTTCTTTCGGGGTTTTTTTTCTGTCTTCGTGTAATCATGAAAAAAATAATTAAAAAAACCTTGAAGACGGTCCTGCAGGTCTTCTCATGGCGGGTCAGGTTTGACAGGATGGTGGAGATCTGATCCGAGAACAGGTACTCTGGATCCACAAGGTTCTTCAACAACACTGGAAGAACTTTGAGCTCTGACACCAAAACCTGGAAAACAAAAATAAATAAATAAAAACACACAAATCAGAGGAGAGAACGACCGCGCAGACGATTTAAACTAAACCTCTGAACTCCTGATCAGGTGTTAACTCGTCCAACACCGCATGTTCGGTTCCAGCAGGACTCACCTGGTGCAGAGTCTCATCAGCTGACAGGTTAATGAGGACGTGGAAACAGTCCTTCACTATGGCAACAGAGGGGTCAGAGGTCAGCGCAAACAGGGAGGCTATTAGGTCGGGTTTAGTCTGGAGGAAACGGCAGCCATCTCTAACAAACAAACAAACAAACAAAAACATACTCAGAGTCAACAGCTGACAAAGTCCTGATTAGATGATGTTTTTGGAACATCCTGAGCCGATCAGGTGAATCCTCGTCTCACCTGTGTCCCGACAGTCCCAGGATGTATTCTGTGGCCTGCGCTTTGACATCGGGACGAGTCCCAGGGGACAAGAAGGACAGCAGCTCTGCAGCTTCGGAGTCGCTCAACATCTTGAGATGTGTCTGAAAAACAACAACAAAACATCAGATTAACGATCAAATTAACAATCAATAAACCATCAGATTACAAACCATCCATAAACCATCAGATTATAGATCAATAAACCATCAGATTACAAATCATCAATAAACCATCAGATTAAAGATCAATAAACCATCAGATTATAGATCAATAAACCATCAGATTAAAGATCAATAGACCATCAGATTAAAGATCAATAAACCATCAGATTAAAGATCAATAGACCATCAGATTAAAGATCAATAGACCATCAGATTAAAGATCAATAAACCATCAGACTAAAGATCAATAGATCATCAGATTATAGATCAATAAACCATTAGATTAAAGATCAATAGACCATCAGATTAAAGATCAATAAACCATCAGATTAAAGATCAATAGACCATCAGATTAAAGATCAATAAACCATCAGATTAAAGATCAATAAACCATCAGATTATAGATCAATAAACCATCAGATTAAAGATCAGAAACATAAAGTTTAATTAATTAAAGGCTGAATTTTAAGGCTCAAATGTGAAGAAAAATAACTGAATAAAGACTTTAGGATTTCTGTCTCATGAAAATCACACGAAACAAGTATGAAAATTATTTTATTTCCATTCATTCGCATTACTGTACATTTTAGTCGCATTTTTTCAATTCCACAGTTTGTGACAATAAACGAGCGGTTTATAAAACTTGTAAATCTTTTATTACACACTTCTGTAGTTTTTATTAACGTCGTTCCGTCTCAGTATTCTGATGTAAACTCGTGCAGTTTAATTTATTCTTCAATAAAACTGCTCACCTTTAACTCGCTGTGAAACCTCCGGTTTTCATTCCTCAGGTATAAATCCTTCAGTCCTCATGAAGAAGACGTGTAAAAACCAAACATGTGGAAACAAACATGCAGAAACCCACTTCCGGGTTTTTCTTCTTCGTCGGTAGATTCAACCACTCTCTTGATCTTAGCGCCCTCTCGTGTTTGAACTCGGATATTGTTTTTGGCCTTTGGCAGCTTTTTGTTCCCTTTTTTCAGTCAAATTGATGGCGAGCACAAAAATATAACAATTTAAAAGACAATACGAGTTTAGTGCCTATAAGATTATTTTAATGAGCTGAAACTGAATATTGGTCTAATCTCTCTAGTCTTTAATCTGTTCCAGTTTTGTTCATTGTTCAGAAAAACTTAATTTGTTTTTTGACCCGACAGGGTTTTTTTTTTCTCACTTCACTTGTTGGGTTTAGTCAGATAAATTAACTTTTCCCTGATAATTAAGTTAAAGCTAGAGACTTGAATAAGTTTGACGCTCGTTGACGTTTGATACAATTTAAAACAGCTGTTTGGCAGGAACGTGAAGAATAAGTTTCAACCTGCAGCCAGGTTCGACTTCAGCCGGACCACAGGCTGTAATCTAGAACTCCACCCAGAGAAAAACATCTCGTTTGAATCACATCTTTAGGAGGAAGACGATGTAAATTAAAAAGGATTAAATTAAGACGTTTAAAGGTTTTTCATTCAATTGTTCTCACTACTTTCCTAGTGTGAATATTTAAAAACTGACGCAGAAACTTCACAGCACGAGCCGACGTAACCACAAACAGATGTGCAGCTTCAAGAGTGAGTTTTTATAAAGATTTACCCAGCATGCATCACTTCCACACTCTGGTTCACCGCGTCCTGATGACGAGCGGGGACACACTGGACTTCCTGAAACAAGCTTCACACTTGAAGAATCTTCTTAAACACCTTTCAAACAGAAACGGACACAAACTCAGCGCGTCTTTTACCTTCTGATCTACTTTATTGAAATGGAGAATTAAAGGAACATTTCAGCTTTTCTGAGCATCTTCTAACGACACCAGGCTCGTTTCCTCCAGAGATCAAACGCTGCTGAATATTTCTGGTCTTTTGCAGCATTTGAGCATTTCATAAAGACAGAAAACAGATTTCAGGAGAAAGATATGCAGGAAAGTTCTGAGCCCAGAGTCAGGCTGATGGAGGTGTGTGGGGGTGACGGCGCCTCGGGCTCCTCGCAGCAGACAGAGGTCAAACAGGTTCATTAATACTTCTGACACCACCGCTAAACAAACAGAACCAATAAAACAAACAAAAAAAGTTCCAGCAAACGTCGGCAGAACAGAGAGAGAGGAGCAGGAAGTGGACAGAACCTCAGACCGGTTCATCGTGAACTCCACCTCATCTCTCACCTGGAGCCTCGCTTACTCCAGGTGAGATGAAGGTTGCCATGGAGACGTGGTACTACTGAAGGTTGAGGAGTTTTTGCATCAGTCTACGTGTCGTCGTTCTGACGGGACGTTCGAGAAAGGTCCGACTGGCTCAGGGCGGGGTCAATCCTCCTCATCCTCACTCCGCCTTGTCCTTCCTCTTGGCTGTGAACGGAACCTTGTTGGCCACCGTCGAGCCCACGCTGGACACGCCCCCGGCCACGGCGGAGACTCCGCCCTTCACCAGCCCCACCCCCATGGAGGGCACCGTGGTCACAGCCGACTTGGTGATTTCCAGGCTCTTCCCCCCGACCCAGGCGACTCCGCCCACCGCGGCGCCGACGACCCCCTTGGTGACGTTTAAGAGGCCGCCGGTGACGCGCCACACCACGCCGGGAGGCGCCGCGGCGTGATCCTTACCGGAGTCTGCAACACAGAATAATCTCAGGTGACAAAACGTCGGATCAGAGAGCAGCCGAAGGTTTTTATTCGGCTGATGTTCAGAACGCAGGACGGAAACACAAAACTGTTTTATTTCATAACTTAATAAATGTACATTTAACAACCGGGAAATATTTTTATAGTAAAACGCGTCTGATTCTTTAAAAGTAGACGATTTTAATCGGTTCTTCAGTCTGCTGATTAATCCGTCTATTCCAGATTAATTTCTAAAAGATCCAAACAAATCTTAACACACAAGAATTAAGTCTGAAAAATTCAGCGCCACTTTTTCACCGTGTCCATCCGAACACGGGCTCCGAAGGTGGCGTCAAAAAACATCGTTTGGAGTTTTGAGACGTTTTCAGAATAAATAAATTAAAATTTATGTTTTATTTTAATCTAATCTGAGACAAAACGTTCTGCAAGTTAATAAAAGCAGCACAACAGCCGAAGCGTCGGCGTTTCTTGGTAACCAGCTGAAACGTTGTTTTAACAAAAGCTATGTAAAAAATAAAAACATGCACATCTGGTTTAGTCCTGTGCAAAAGTCCTGATCAGTCTTCACGACCCAGATCCTCCTGCGAGCTTTCAGAGGAACTCTGACCTTTGACCTCTGGCTCTTCTGAACCCACCTTGAACAAAATTAGGATTAGTGACACCATCTGTTTGTTTCTCAGCTGAATGTTTGACTAAAATCTTCACAAACTCTTCTACCCCCCCATCAGAACTCTTTCTATAATTTTCTGTTTAATCCAACGCAGAGTTTTAAATCACAGAAATAACTTTAACGTCCAAACTGTGTTGTGGTTGTAACAACTTTGTTGTTCCCAGCTGATGGTGGGTTTACTCGTGGTTCCTACAGTTTCCGAGCAGAACTCGAGGTTGTCAGCTCCTTTCAGACACCACCTCCACTGAAATTAAACTTTTTGACCTCGGACCAAAACATAACCCCTCAGTCCGGCAGAGCAGAACATTTATGACCTTTGACCTGAACATCTGAGCAGAACTTCACTGCGACACGTTAATGCTGCAAAAAACTCGTGTTAAATCTTTAAAAGCAAGCTTCCTGCGGGCCCTCGGGTGTCTGAGCCGTCATGGCGACCCGGAGCCTCCGGGGAGACCCAACTGGTGCCGAGCGTCTCGGAGCGGGACACAAATAGACAAACAGACACGTTCCCCCGACGAAACAAGCGGTTCTGAAATAGCAACAGGCAACAAGCGAGCACAGATTGCACCATGCTCCCCGTTGTGTTCCAGCATTTAGACACATCCCTGTGGGGGCGGAGCTTACCGTCTGGAGACTGGTTAGCTGCTTCAGCTTCATCCGGGGACAGGGTGGTCCCAGGCTGGGGCTCCACGTTCACACTGTTCACATTCTGGAGGGAAAATATAAAAAAAATTATGATAATTAAAATTTAAAAATTAATAAAAACATTCATCATTACGTGTGAAACTCGTCCTGACAGCTGCCCGACGTCTTCTGTAGGTCAGAAGGAAATTTACAAACATTTGGAAAATAAAACTCAAAACTTTGTGGAGTTTTCTTCATTTGAGAAAAACTCCAGTTCTAAACCGTTTTAACGACGTGAAAAAGATCCTGAAGTGATTTTTAATCATTTAAGTTTTGGTTTGATAATTGTAGAGATGCTGAGAGGAGAACCGAGAGGAGAACCAAGAGGAGAACCAAGGAGAGTACCAAGAGGAGAACCAAGAGGAGAACCAAGGAGAGTACCAAGAGGAGAACCAAGGAGAGTACCAAGAGGAGAACCAAGAGGAGAACCAAGGAGAGTACCAAGAGGAGAACCAAGATAAGTGCCAAGAGGAGAACCAAAGAGAGTACCAAGAGGAGAACCAAGGAGTGTACCAAGAGGAGAACCAAGATAAGTACCAAGAGGAGAACCAAAGAGAGTACCAAGAGGAGAACCAAGGAGAGTACAAAGAGGAGAACCAAGGAGAGTACCAAGAGGAGAACCAAGAGGAGAACCAA